CCCCAGATCACCAACCCCCCTTTTTTTTTCTATCCACCATGTTGATCGCTGTCAAACTTACAGCCTGCCTTGGTTGGTCCAATCCTCCTTTCTATCTGGCCTTAGCTCTCGTTTCTTTCTCCTGTCTTCACAGTGCCTATGGAAACTGGTTTCCAGGTAGCAAGCCTTTGATCCAGCAAGCTATGGCAAAGATCATGAAGGCAAACCCTGCCTTGTATGTGCTTCGAGAGCGGATACGCAAGGGGTTGCAGCTGTACTCATCAGAGCCCACTGAGCCCTACCTCTCCTCGCAGAACTATGGTGAACTCTTCTCTAATCAGATCATTTGGTTTGTGGATGACACCAATGTCTATAGAGTCACCATTCACAAGGTAGGCATGGGCCCTGGTGCTTAGACATTCAGCCCTGTCTAGGAGGGGACACACAGCTTTTCTGTGTCTCCATCATTAGGGTGGGATAGGTATCTCATTCATGTTAATGGGGGGGGGGTGTCTGCTCCTCTGCCTTAGACCTTCGAAGGGAACTTGACTACCAAGCCTATCAATGGGGCCATCTTCATCTTCAATCCAAGAACAGGGCAGCTCTTCCTGAAGATCATCCACACGTCTGTGTGGGCTGGACAGAAGCGTCTGGGTCAGGTATGCCCGAGATCGAAGGCCTCAGATGTACTGTCTTGCCCTTCCGTCCCTCTGCTCTGTCTGGACTGGCATCTCATTAGGACACCAGGTGGAGACTAGTGGCCTGAGCCTGGGAGGGGATACGTAGGCCCCCTTCTTCTGCCTACAGGACTTGAGCAGTCTCCTAAAATGGTCCTTTTGGTCACAAAGTCACTGAACATGCTGTGGATTCTGAGAAGCCCTAGGGAGCACACCCTGCCTGTCTGACCTCATCCCTACTACTGTGGCCCATGGTGACGGGGCCCCTTCTGCATGCTCCCAGGCACCTTATTGCCTTCTTCCTACATACCCTGCCCATTTCTCCCCCCTACTCAGTGTGGAGACTCAGTGTGTGCTCCCCTCTGTCTTCTTCCTAGTTGGCCAAGTGGAAGACTGCTGAGGAAGTGGCTGCCCTGATCCGTTCTCTGCCTGTAGAGGAACAGCCCAAGCAGATCATCGTGACCAGAAAAGGCATGTTGGACCCATTGGAGGTAAGAAGCAGTGGAAGGAGCTGGGAAGAGTTGGGTCCCAGGGCCTTGGGGCTGTGCCATTGACCTAGACCTTGTTTCAGGTACACTTGCTGGACTTCCCCAACATTGTGATCAAAGGCTCAGAGCTGCAGCTGCCCTTCCAGGCCTGTCTCAAAGTAGAGAAGTTTGGGGACCTTATCCTCAAGGCCACCGAGCCCCAGATGGTTCTCTTCAATCTCTATGATGACTGGCTCAGGACCATCTCATCCTACACGGTGCGAAGCTGCGACAGGGGGTCCTGGCCCAGGGACAGGTGGCGTCCTCAGCTCTGGCCTCAGAGAACTTGAATTTGAGATCCAGGACCACCTGACTTGGGGCTCTGGTCAAGGCCTGGGGACTCCCAAGTCAGTGGTGGAAATTGCTCATCCTCAGGAAGGAATCAAGGGGAAGGAAGGGAAAGGGGGAAAAGCTGCTTCCAGTGGGCTCTTGTGGCTGACATTCTTCTCTCATGGCCAGGCCTTTTCCCGTCTCATTCTGATCCTCCGTGCCCTCCATGTGAACAATGACCGGGCCAAGGTGATCTTGAAGCCTGACAAGACCACCATCACAGAGCCGCACCACATCTGGCCCACGCTGACCGATGAGGAGTGGATCAAGGTCGAGGTGCAGCTCAAGGACCTGATCCTGGCTGACTACGGCAAGAAGAACAAGTGAGCTGGGGGGAGGGGGGGGGCGCACCAGGGGCTGGGCTGGGGGGAGGAGGGGCTGGGCTAGGGGAAGAGAGAGAATCTGAGCCATGGGCTGTGCTCAGGGACTGGTGGGTTAGCAGGGCTACAGCATGACATGGTTAGTGCACCGGAAAGCTGTGAGACAGAGCTCAGTGTGAGCCTGAGGGGATGTGGAGCATGGGACACCACCTCCTCTTCAGCTCCGTGGGCAAGAATCCAACTCTGAGGCTTAGTGAGAATTTTCTGAAAAATGAGGGCTGTCCCCTTAGGTGAGGAAGCCTGGGTCTAGGAGAGATTGGGAGTGCCCTGCAGATGCCCACATGTATCGTGATGCCAGTTCACCCTGCTGCTTCCCTGGGGAAGGATTGGGGGGAGGTTGGGGACTGTCTGGGGGCCAGATACAAGCAGAGCAGCATTCTGTTTACATGTTGAGTTGATGGTGACAAAAGAGAGTCCCCACGGGTGTGGTGTGAACATGTCTGTCCCCACAGTGTCAACGTGGCCTCACTAACACAGTCAGAGATCCGAGACATCATCCTGGGCATGGAAATCTCAGCTCCGTCACAGCAGCGGCAGCAGATTGCTGAGATTGAAAAACAGACCAAGGAACAGTCTCAGCTGACAGCGACGCAGACCCGAACCGTCAATAAGCATGGCGATGAGATCATCACTTCCACCACCAGCAACTATGAGACCCAGACCTTCTCCTCGAAGACTGAATGGAGGGTCAGGTACTGTCCTAGGAAATGGGAAGAAAATGGAGTGAGGCTTGAGGAGAAACTGAGGGTGGTGAAGTGGGAGGCAGCGAGAGTGGTTCTGTGTGTAGCCATGGCAGGCCGTCCACGTAATGCTGACCATCTACCTTACATCTCAGGGCCATCTCTGCTGCCAACCTGCATCTGCGAACCAACCACATCTACGTGTCGTCAGATGACATCAAAGAAACAGGCTACACTTACATCCTTCCCAAGAATGTGCTCAAGAAATTCATTTGCATTTCTGATCTTCGGGCCCAGGTGAGTAGGTGGGCAAGGGCCTAGAGCCCACGATGGGCCTTGGGGGACAGGAAAGGGAGCACACACTGCAGACGGGCCAGAAACCCTCAGTGTTTTTGTGTTGTTTGTTTCTTGAGGCTGTCGGGGTTAAATGACATGCTCAGGTTCACACAGCTAGTAAGTGTCACATGTCTGAGGCCAGATTTGAACTCGTTCCTCCTGACTCCACTGTCCCTGGAAGCCTTAACTGTTGAATCCGTTGTTTCCAGATTGCGGGCTACCTCTACGGAGTGAGCCCTCCGGATAACCCTCAAGTGAAGGAGATCCGGTGCATTGTGATGGTGCCTCAGTGGGGCACCCACCAGACGGTGCACCTGCCAGGCCAGCTTCCCCAGCACGAGTACCTCAAAGTGAGTTTGGGGGCGTGGATCCCGGGGGCTTAGTCTGGATTTTGGGCTCCCAGGAGGTGCTGCTGCTCTGATCCGTTCTCTTTCACTCCTCACAGGAGATGGAGCCCCTTGGCTGGATCCACACTCAGCCCAATGAGTCCCCCCAGCTCTCGCCCCAGGACGTCACCACCCACGCCAAAGTCATGGCGGACAACCCCTCCTGGGACGGGGAGAAGACCATCATCATCACCTGCAGGTGAGGAGGTCTGGCCGGGTGGTGCAGAGGGGTCCTCCCATCTCTGGAGTTGGGGGAGGGGCTTGGAGCCCCCTTCTGACCGTCCCGGCTTCTCCCCAGCTTCACCCCGGGCTCCTGTACCCTGACTGCCTACAAGCTGACTCCCAGTGGCTACGAGTGGGGTCGGCAGAACACAGACAAGGGCAACAACCCCAAGGGCTACCTGCCCTCCCATTACGAGCGGGTGCAGATGCTGCTGTCTGATCGCTTCCTTGGCTTCTTCATGGTGCCTGCTCAGGCGTCCTGGAACTACAACTTCATGGGTGAGTGGCAGAGGGGAGGGGGCTTGGGGGCTGAGGCAGGTCAAGGAGGAGCGTGATTTCCTCCATCCCCCACCGGGCTGGCTGGGTGGGAACCCCACCTTGCTAGCTAGCGCCTCCTTACAGTCTCAGCACACACTTCCCCCCAAAAGATCCTCATGAACAAATTACAGTTTTTAGAAAAAGCAGGCCAGATGTGGAAATGCATTTTGCATGACTGCTCATCTGTAATAACCTGTAGCTTGTTTTCTTAATGAGGGGGGACGGGGAGGGAACTCAGAATCTTAAAACATGAATGTTAAATCTTTACCTGTAATTGGGAAAATATGTATATTGAAAAAGAAAGGGAAAGGCAGCTAGGTGGCACAGTGGATAGAGCACTGGCTCTAGATTCAGGAGGACCTGAGTTCAAATCCAGCCTCATACACATAACATTTACTAGCTGTGTGGCTCTGGACAAGTTACTTTCCCCCAACTGCCTCACCAAAAAAATCGAAAGTCCAAGAGGATATTTAGTTTTAAGGGGGGGGGGGGCCAGTGGCTCCTTCTAGTGTTGACCACCTTTTCTAACTGTTCCCTGGGCTTTCTTGGTCACAAGCTCTGAATGGATTGGGTGGGAAGGGCTTTGGGTTTGAAGGGTCCATCCTCAGGCTGCCCTTGGCCCCTTCTCTGATGGTCTGGGCCCTGGAGAAGGCCCTCGGCAGCCAGGGAGTCCCCACCATTCTGGGTTGGTGTACGGGTCTGCCTCATGGTTGCCTGTGGCAGAGGCTGTCTTAGTGGGTGGCAGAGCTGGGGCCCTGGCCTGGAAGTCTGACCAACCCTGGACGTTGTGCTCCCCTCCCCTCCAGGCGTTAGACATGACCCCAATATGAAATACGAGCTGCAGCTGGCCAACCCCAAAGAGTTTTACCACGAAGTGCACCGGCCCTCCCACTTCCTCAACTTTGCCCTGCTGCAGGAGGGCGAGGTCTACTCCGCGGACCGGGAGGATCTCTATGCCTAGATGGCCCTGCCCCGCTCCTCCCCTCCCTCTCAGTCACTGTTGACATTCAGCAGCCTGGCTCTGCCCCCGTATTTTGTGCTTGTGTTTTTATGTCTTGTGGAACTTCAAGGCCTGTAGTCTGGAGATGAGCATGACAATAAATTTTGTACAAATTCCTCATGCCTCAGCCTTTTGTGGGGGGGGGAGTCGCAAAGCAGCTTTGCTGGGGTCTCCCTTATCTTATCCTGCCTCAGGCTCCTCACCACCCCAGGCTCAGCCATGACCGGGTGATGAGATATAAAGGACTAGGTAGTGAGAAGACCTCAGGACCTGCCCTTGGCGGGGGGATGAGAAGACATCTGAAGAGAGTCCGCTGCCCTACTTTGGGAAGCTGAAGACCCGGCACTTGGCCCTCCTCCGTCAGCAGGCAGGACCTGGGCCAGGGCGGGGTGGAGCCTGGTTGGGAACAGGGTGCTAAGGGCCTAGGAACAGTTGGCTGACCACCTACTCATCTGTCCCGGAGGCGGGGCCAGGGCTCCGCCTCCAGCTCCGTGAGTCCTCAGCTTCCTGGGGCCCTGGCTGATTGCGCCTTCTGCCCTAGCCCTGGACCCGCCCGGGGCCTCATGGAGCCGGCGACGGCAGCCCGGCCCAGCCCGGAGCTCGTGTATCATTTGGCCGGAGCCCTGGGCACCGAGCTGCAGCGACTCGCCAGCCGCTTCGGGTCCGAAGCGGTGGCCCGACTGGTGCCCCATGTAGTGCGGGCCCTGGAGCTGCTGGAGGGGGTGGCGGGGGCGCCCCTCGAGCCCGAGGAGGAGGCGAAAGGTGCGGTGGCCCCGAGGAGCCCCCAGCGAGAACTGCGGGACGGTACGCGAGGTGGGTGGCTCCCGGGAGCCAGAGCAGGCGGGAGGGGGAGTGCAGCGCAGCCCCGGAGAGCCCTGAGCCCGAGCTCCTTGTTCCCCAGAGGAGCGGCTCCTGCTGCGGCAGCTGAAGCAAGTGACCGACGGGCAGCGAGACCAGCTCCGCGCGCAGAGCAGGGAGCTGCAGCTGAGGGTGCAGGAGGCTGAGGCGGTGAGATCGGGCCTTGGGGGGAAGCCGGGGGAGTGGGCAAGGGCGGAGCTGGAGCACAGGGGGCGCGGCCGAGGCGCTGGGGGCGGGAACCGGGACGGGCCGGAGCCGGGCCTACCACACCCTTGTTCCTCCCACCCACCCCCTCCTCGCAGTTGCAGGAGCAGCTGCAGCGACTCCTGCGAGTGAACGCGGAGCTCCGCTGCAAGCTGGCCGCCGTGCAGGTCCAGCTGCGGGCAGCGCTTCAGAGGGCAGCCGACGCGGAGGGGGCCTCAGCTCAGGCCGGGGCACGGGAGGCGCCCGAGGTGTGCACATGAGTGTGTGTTCCCCGGCAGTGAGCAGCTCTGGCTAACCAATTCGGGGGTGGGAGATGGCCAAGTGTCTAAGCCCCATTAACAGTACCCTACTTATTCGTTCACTAGCTGGCATGGGCCAGCTCTGTACCTTCTATTTCTTCATTCTCCCCGAAGAGCCTGGGACGGTGCTGCCAAAAGCTTATCACTTTGGGGACTTCTCACCCGGGTACTCCCCATCTCTGGTTCCTAGTTCCCACACAACCCCCCACCATGACCACCACCATGACTAGGGTGGCACGAGATGAGTCAGGTGTTAAGGACGCGCCTCTTTCCCGACTCCGGCAGCCTTCCCATTTCCCCTTTGTCACCCGAGCAGGCTGTTTCCCGTCTGTGCCACGCAGAGCCTCAGGGTCAGCGGAAGCCTCATGGCTTCAGCAGAGAGGAGGTCAGCCAGATCCTTCAGGAGCGCAATGAGCTGAAAGCCAACGTGTTCTTGCTACAGGAAGAGCTGAATTTTTACCATCGGTGGGTGGCGGGCAGGCGGGGCCGCCGGGATTCCCCCCCCCCATCCAGGCCCTACAAAGAGCCTTGTGCCCAGGAAGCAGTGAATTGCTATGACCTCCCCTCGCCCCCACTCCTCTTCTGTCTTCTCCTGGGTCCAAGTGGGGCCCTCCTCCGATGGTTAGCCCAGTTTTCCCTGCGCCTCCCCTGCCTGCTACAACTTTTCAGTCCTCTTCCCAAGCCAGGTCACTTAGTTACTGAGGCACATTGTAGTTAAAGTGACCCACCAAAAAACCTCGGTAGAGGGCAGTCATAGCCTTTCTTTGACTCTCACCGGGCACCTTAGTTGGCAGAGTCCAATATATGCCCAGACTCCCAGGGGATGCTTCTCCCTGAATGCTTCAGGGCTTATAGCCCCCTTCACCAAGGGTGAGCTCATTAGAGTTTTTAGACTTGCAGGCTTGACTCCTCCTGAGGGCCCTGCTCTCTCTGGCTTCTAGGGAGCTGCTTACTGACCAGTGGGTCCCTGGGCTCCTGCTGAATGCTATGAAATTGACTGTGAAGAAACATCGGAGAAAGATCAAAGCCAAGATGCTGGGGACCACTGATGAGCCAGGAAGCAGGTGAGGGCTGCCCTCACCGAGCCTGCCTTGCCTCCCCTGCCTCAGTGTACCTCTTGGCCTTCCTTTGCCATACCTGCTCGCTGCTTAAGGTGCTAACACAGTTCTAAGGCTGCCTTGCTGCCCCCTCTAGGGAAGGAGGTGTGGGCTGGGACTTTGCTCGAGGCCTTCCTGAACTGTGGATCCTAAGGCTGGGAGTAGAGACACTGCTTCCCTCACACCCCCACCCCCACCCCCCAGTCCCTCAAGAGCTCAGCCTGGATTCTCAGTGCCTGCCCAGACTAAAGGCCAAGAAGGGCCCCCCATCACCAGCTGTGCTGTGCTGTTTTCTTTATGGAGTCTCCGGGTTGTTTTTTCTTTTTTAAGAGGAGATCTCCAAGTGGCCTAATTATTTACATTTTAATAGTGCTTCCAAGTTGTCAGAGAGTTCTCCTTGCAACCTGTGAAACAGGTGGTGCAAGTAGTAACATTAACCCCAATTTACAGATAAGAAAACTGAAACTTGGAGAGTTTAGGACGGTGTCTTAACAATAATAATGATAATAGCTTACATTTAGGCAGTTTGTGAATGAAGGTTCACAAAGCATTTTCCACGCGCTACCGTGTTTGATGCTCACAGGTCTGTGGGGGTAAGGTACGATTATATACCCCATTTTACAGATAAGGAAACTGAGGCTGAGATTTTAATGATGATGATGATGATGGTGATAGCTGGCATTTCTGTAGTGCCTTTAGGTTTTGCCAAGACCTTCACAATTATCTCATTTCATCCTCACAAGAACATGTCTCACAAGAGATAGGTGCTATTATCTCCATTTTACAGATGAGGAAATTGAGGCTGAGATTAATAATTAAGGTTTGCAAAGCATTTTACACGAGTTATCTCATTTGGCCCTTACAACAACCCTGGGAGGTAGGTGCTGTTATTATCTCCATTTTACAGATGAGGAAACTGAGGCTAAGATAGGTTAAGATTCTTGCCCAGGGTCACAGAGCTAGTCAGTGTCTAAGGCAAGATCTGAATTCTGGTCTTCCTGATTCTGAGTCCATCACTCTATACTCTCCAGATGCTGAGTACCAGTTGGAGGACTCTAACCCAGTTCCTCCTCGCTGCCTCAATTTCAGTTATCTTTCCACTGGACCCAGGCTGGGGGCGGGTCCAGGCTCCTTGCTCTTGTATCATATGTCCCCTAATTTGGAGTCCCCCTAACCTCTCCTCAGTTTCTCAGCATCCCCAACCCAGCAGGGAGGGAGAGTGGCAGTTAGAGAAGATGGATATTCCTTCCCATCGAACACCTTAATTGATAAATAGTTCGTATTCAAACACTGCCACGTAGTTTGGTTTTCAAAGTGTTTTACTCATAACTACTGATGAGGTAGGTAGTAGAGTTCAGCTAGACCCATTTTACAGATAAACTGAGGCTTACAAAACTTATGCCAGGTTTGAGTGTGTGTGTGTGTGTAGCCCGTATTACAGGGGTGGTCACTGCACCCTCACAAATAGGCAGGTCAAAGAACTCTACAGAGGTACACCTGCAGGGGGTGGGGAGGGGGCTGAACTAGGTAGGTGAGCTCTAGCCTTCATCCAGCCTCTTTCTTCTGCCTCAGTGACGATGATGATGATGATGATGATGATGATGATGATGATGATGAAGATGACAACAATGAAGCCTCATGGCTACCACCCCCTGGTGTGGATGGGGCAAGCCCACCTGTGCCCCCTGAATCCAGAATCAAGAGTTTGTATGTTGAGGTTGGGGGCAACAAGGGTGGGTAGGTGCTTACCTGGGTAAGGAAAAAGAGGGAGACTGAATTAGGGCTTTTCTCCCCACCCTGGGTCTTTTCACTCCAACTTTACACTACTTTCTCATGATTTCTCTCTTCTCTCATGTGCCCCAACTCTTCTCACCCACTTGCCTTGCCTACTCCACAACTCAGTCATATTCCTACTCCATCATAAATCTCTTTCTTTGGTGAGACCTTGGGCAAGTCACTTTCCCTCCCTTTGGCCTCAGTTTCCTCCCCTGTAAAATGAGAGGGTTGGTCCAGATGTCTACTGAGATGCCTTCAAGCTAGAGAGCTATGACCCCTGTGACCCTCCTCATGACACAGGCTCTTGGCTCTCCTCTAGCTTCAGCTTTTGGTATCGGGGAAGCTCAGAGCCCTCTGTGGAAGTCCCACAAACTGGAGACCCCACCTCCTCCCAGGGGGAACTGAGGAGGGAAGAAAAGGAGCAGCCACCTCCCCCTGAGCCCCCTGGGGGCCCCCCATGACCACCCAGCCTGACCAAGCCCTGGCTCCGTACTTTCAATAAACATCAGAAAAAGTGCTTTCAATAAACATCATAGAATGTTGTATCCTTAGCCCCTTGAATACCTGGTATGGAAAGCCTAATGAATGCATGTTGAGTGATTAATTGATCTGTCGATTGATTCACATCTTTGTAGCCTCAACCCTTAAACAGGGACCTGCTTTAATGTGTCTATTTCCCACCTTGGTTTATTTCCTTGAAGGGGAGGGGCAGGAAAGGAGTTGAAACTTGGACTTGGGGGGATGGCTCACTACTGATCTGATAGCAGCTTTGTCCTTCAGTTTTCCCTGGAATGGAACTAGAAACTAAGGCTCAGAGCTTGTAGTTAACTATTCTGGGCTGGAGAATCCATCCCAAGTATCTTACTCCTTTCTCCCCAGGGTCCTGTCTCCTTCTGCTCCGAGCTCTCCACATCTTGGCCTTGTCCTACTCTTGTGTTAGGAGATCAGAATACCCTTGTCACCATTCCCTTCAGCACCGCCCCACCCCCCAGCCCCAGTCTGAGTGGAAGGGTCCCTAAGTGGA